GTGTGTTTTATGTCATAGAGACTTGTGGCAGCACTGCTGTTTCTCCAATAATTAACCAAACAAAATGGACACCGAAATATTAATTAAATGAAAAGTAACTCTTAAGAGTTTTAAATTTGAGTTTAAACTCATCAAGTTATGTCATCTCGGTTTTTAAAAAAGTAAGTTTTTTTTTTTTTTAATTTTTAATCATTATATGCTTAGAAACTCATTAGATATGAAACTGGGAACTTTCAAGATCATTTACTATTCTTTTAGTCTCGTTTTCTAACGATGAAATATAATAGTTGTTTTCGTTTACGTGCACACAGATTTTCGGTGGCATTCAGTATTATTTCTAAAATTTTTTGTTATTGGCGTTCAGGTTACTTAAGTATAATGCTCGTTACTCCATTAATTAATTATAAATTAAAATTTTCACAAAATCTAATCTTATTAATGATTTTAGTTTTATTATTCAATGGTTTGTTATCTATTTGAGCAATGAGTTTAAATATAATATTTGTCAACCGGTTTCTAAAAATGAATTTTTGTTAAAGGGCATTCTTAAATGATAATTTCGACATTATACTTCGTAAGTTTTTGAAGGAACACTCTCAATTTGATAACCGTAAAACGAAAAGGGTACTGTCATTTTCAACTCATTATCTAAATTATATTTTGAATCAGTTGAAAACTCAATATTTACACACTGTTCTGTCGTCGAGTTAAATAAAATTTGTCTAAACAAGTATTAATTTATATTACGAAATATCAGATTTTCAAGCATTGTATTAACCTATCTACTTGAATTTAAAATCAATAATTTTAGAAAAACATTTAAAAATCATATTTTTTCATTCTCATTCTGAATCAAAATTCAGTTACTACTCAGTTTAACTGCTGCACTCATTTTCAAAGTTCCAAAATATACATATGTACTTATTTGAAGCCTAAGCAAATCTCTGATCCCAGTATTTCATCAACGCAATTATTCAAACAACATCTCTGTTTAAAAATACTGATTGAAAATAATTAAAAAACATGAAACTCGACTTTTTTTCAATAATTTCAATTCTTTTGTTTGTATATATAGACATACAGTTTACATGGAGACTGCTTCTCAATTCTTTTCAATCAGTATTCTTAACCAGGGATATCACTCCACATAAATGTCAATAATAAAGATTCAAACTTGGTATGTCTCGTATTTCTAATAAACAATATTTTTCAATTATAGAAGGTTAGAAAAAAAATAGTACTTCTAATTATAACAATTAATTAATTTTCATTTTTGTCAGGTATATATAATTTCAAGTAATCTTTGAACTTTATAGAATGGTTGTGAGACTGTGAAATTCATCGTTTTTTAAAAACAAAAATTTTTAGTTTTAGCTCTTTGAGGAGCTCTTTCACACAAGCGTCACAAAAATAAATGTTACTTCTTTGGAAGATTATATTCAACAAGAGAAAAAATTAACAGTTGTCGACTTGAATTCAACAAAACATCAAACAATTTTTGAGCCCCTTGGGCAGTTAACAGAATGTCCATGGCCCGTGTACGAGTTACTAAAAGTATATTATTTAAATTTTGGGAAAATACTATCGTTCATGAAACTATTTGATAATATAATTTAAAAAATTTCAGTTATGAACAGTTATCAGTAAAATCAATAGTTTTATAAAAATTATATAATTGGATAAAAAGCAACTTAGATTCCCTAATATATATCAGCTTAACATAAGATTTTCATATTCTGCCATTTTCATTTTATTTTAGATAAATTAATCGAGCTGTAAATGTTCGGATAGGTTGACAGCACGATTTTTATATTTTTGAACATTCTTAGAAGTTAATCTAGTTGAGTAAGAAGAAATTTTGTCATAGTTAGAGGCTTTAATTATTACAAAATTGGTTGTATTGTAATACAATATTTTTTTTATTCAACAGTAAAACTGTTTGAATCCTCTTAAAAGTTGATGATGTATTTAGATTAACTGCATCACCACCCTGGGACATTAATCTTACGGTAATGACATATCTATGAAAATAGCGAACCCGAGGTAGGTTTGTTATGAACTTGAAGAAAATTCATAGTACTAGCTTAAAAAAAAGACCAAACAATAAATTCGCAGTTAAAACACGCTAATTTCACAAAAAAAAAAAAAAAGCAAAATTTCTACGATATACTCATTATAATTAGACAGCAATTGCATCATAAATCGTGAATTCATTGATTATATTAGGTTTTATTGATAGAAATTAAGTTTATTTTCATATTCATCATAGAGCCTTACCGTACATAAACTAAATTTTTTAAACTATTCAATTTACTGTAGACGAACTGTCATCTATAGATAAATTCTCTAGCATCATATTGTAAAGTCACCAACATTTCATTACTGTTTTCTTTTTTGCTTAAATTGTGAATTTATTTATTCGTTTTTTTCCGGCGAAGCGACCGCCTGCACACGATCCAAGTAGATAAATTAAATTTTTCAGAAAATAACCAATCAATTTTGAATTTACATCTTTTGAAAAAAATTTTTTTATTGTTTTTTCTTTGGCAGAACTTCGTTTTATGATAAACGAAAACTTCTGACCAAAATTTGTCCAAATCGAAAGAGATCGATGCCAACTATTTGTCGATTTGACATGGAATGACCCAATTGCCAACTATTTCTTTAAATTTCAAAATTTAGTCATTTTTAAATGGCTGTAACTAGTCTTTTTGTAGAGATAATCATACTTTGTCTGAGAGTTTTGTAAAGCTCAAAGATTCTACTTTAGGAATATAAAATCGTTTTTTTCTAAAAAATTTCGTAAATTATGTGTAAATCCAATTTAAAACAAAAAAGAATTTTTCCCATGTATTTATTTCCAATTAATTAAAAAGAAAATTTCTTCAGCCAAAAAAATTAAAAATTAAAATAGTCTAGGTCAAAATAAATATTTTTTTAATTCTAGAAAAATTTTTTCTTAAAAATTTATTTTTTTGGCCATGCTTGTTTTTAATTCTGCTTTCAATGTCGTGAAAGGAAAAAATGAAGATTTCGATAGCTTTTATGCCTTTAAAAGTTGGAAAAAATTTTGATTCATGTTTTTGGATAAAATTTCTATTTTATCTTTTTTTGATATATTTTTTTTTGAAAAGTATATAAAAAAAAACGAACAATTAAAAAAAAAAAAGTTGAATATCAAAATTTGTTAATAATTGTGATAATAAACTTTTTTTTTAATTGTTCATTTTTTTATGTTTCTTTCAAAAAAAAATATAACAATAAAATCAAATGGAAATTTCGTTGAAAAAAATGAAAATGAAAATGGTTGACCCCACTTGTAAATATTTACCATTTTTTTTTTTAATAACAAATAATGAATTATTAATAAGAAAGTAAATAAAATAATTATGTTTTAAATTATTTAGGAGATTTACTTCAGCGTGTTCAACTTAAATACAGTGCGATGGAAAAATGCGAAAATATCAGCATCGCTTCTGTAAATGGAATATGTACGGACGCTGTTTACTCAACAGATGACTGCAATGTAAGTTTTTGTTTATTATTCTGTGGATTTCTTGATGAATTTAGAAAATTAAATGAAGAAATATTTATTTTAGGAAGAAGAACTAGCAGGTACTCCAATGATTTGTCTGCTACCTGACGAACGGAGATGGGCTTTAGCTGGAGTCAGTAGTTGGAGAATTGCCTGCTCGAAGGCTGCGATCGAGAGACCTAGACTCTACGACAAAGTTTCTTCAAATATCGCATGGATAAAGTCAACGATCGCTTAACTCAGTGTCTTAAAAATTATAAATATAATTAAAACCATTATACCAATTATTTGCTATTTAAATTAGCTATAAGTCTGACTGACGATATGTAAATAATGTTATTCCATCATCCAGATGCCAGATATTTTATTTATTAGTTATTGTTTTATATTAGCTATTATGACTATAATAGACAAATTGTGTGTAATTAATTTAATCATTTTATAAGCGATTATCCAAGACATGGAAATATGTAAAAACGTAAAACGAGATTTATTTTTAAATCCGTATTAAATATTTTGGAATTTTAATAAAAATTATAAAGTTATTAATAAAAAATATAGAGGGTAATTTAATCTCCAAGAAGCTCACTATCATGTCAGTAGAATTCAAGCGTAGATGGTTATATCATCGTCTATCTTTGATCGGTCATATCTTACAACTAAATTAATCAATTCAAATGTTGTCTTTTTTTAATTAAAACTTTAGACTGTAGCTCTAAAAAAATTCGCGTGTATAGATAATAAAGCTAAATAATTTTGAAATTACAACTCTCACTTAGTGTTTATCATTTTTAGTCTTATGATAATAATATTTTTTTATTGCCTACATAATAAACTACGCTGCCCAATTTCAAAACACAGTAACTAACATTTAGAAATTTTTTTTAATTTTTCTTATTACAAAAAAGTTTGTCTGCTAAATTGATGAAAAATTTGATTTATGAATAGAAAATACTTGAATATAAATAAAGGTCTAAAAGTTATAAAAAATGGAACAATATTAAAAAAAATTTTTGCAGTTACTGTGTTTTAAAATTGGGCAGCCGTCTAGTTCAGTTAGTTTTAAGATCTCATAATAATTCCTATGGGAAATCTCTAGGGAAAGTTGTACACTTTTTTTCCACCCAGATAAATAATAAGTCCCGTTAGCATTATTATTTAATAGGAGTAAAAAAAAACTCTTCATTCAGAGTACGTTATTTGATATTAATAACCCAAGATTGTTTTTTTAAATCAAGTGGTTTTGCTACAAACTAAAGACAAGTTATTCCAAGCACTGCATGTCGAACTGTTGAAATTAATATAACAAGCGCAGTGGGGGTCAGTATACTGATTCAGCTGGTGTAGTCAACGCGCTTATCCGATACTAGTGAAATTGTAGTACGCAAGTGCGCTATCATTGATTCTCATATTTTATTAACTAAAATAAATCCTTCTATTAGTGGCTTTTTAATTTAATATTCTCATGGAAGCTAAAGTAAGTTCAATCAACCCTGGCTATGAATAAATTACAATAAATTCAATACAAATTTATTTTATTTTAATTTTCTAGGATCAAAAATCAGGTCTCGCTTTTATTGATCTGAAATCTAATGATCCAGTCAATCTATATGAAGACTGGCACCAAGAGGCGATTAAGTACATGAAAGGTTCAACAAGCATCACTTGTCTTGCAACTGTCTCCGGGTGAGTTCATTATCTTGTCTATTATTTTTGATTTTTTATTTTTACTTTATAATTTTTTTATTCCAGCGAAACTCCACGAGCGCGACATGTGTTGCTGAGGGGATACGGCAAAGATGGCTTTGAATTTTTCACCGACAGCAGAGGAAGAAAATCTCAGGAACTTGTAAATATATGATCATATAAAATTTTATTAACTTAAATAATATTTTTCAAAGCAAAGGAATAATTAAAGATTTTACTCAGAGCGAAAATAGCCAGGCCGCGATGTGCATTTACTGGATGTACGAGAACGATAAAAGTGAGCGCGTTTCGAGGCAGGTAACGTTGTAATCAGCAATACTGTTTTTTTTTTTTCATTTTTTTATCTTCGTTTTATTACTTTTTGCTCAAGGTACGGCTGGAAGGTCGAGTAGAATTACTACCGCGGGAGAGAGTTAGAGAAGTTTATGAGTTAGAGCCGCTTCACTGTAAAATTCGCGCTCACTTGTGTCATCAGGATGTTAAGGTGGATTGGACCCAGATGAAGGGACATCACGATGAATTATTGCGTCAAGCTGAATCAGATCCCGAGAGTTTAGTCATGCCTGAACATTTGTTAGTCACAATAAATCGTTTTTCGCAAACAAGTTCATTTAATTACTAATTATTAATAGCAATATTTTTTTATTTTAGTGTCGGCTACAAGCTAATTCCCACATGGTTTGATTTTTATTTCTCGAAAGATAATTTCATTGCTGATCGGATGGAATTCACCAATGAAGATGGAGTTTGGAAGAACATGAGAATCGCCGCATGATTTTCTTATTATTTTTTAAATGTAAAATAAATTGTGATTCATTTTTAAATAAATCTGTGGGTAAATTTTTATGGCTTTAGAAATTTATTAGTTTTTTATAAAATTAAATTTGTCACGCATCTGATTATTTTTATGATTTTGTTTTAACAAATAAATTATTATAAAAAATTTTTAAATCAATTTTAGAGTGTAAAAAAAAATTATTTTCATGTGGTATCAATTTTATTTTAGAAAATTTTTATTTTTGATACAGAATATAATAAAAAATGTAAAAATATAAAAAAATTATCACATCACACCTATGAATAAGTTTCCATTATATAGTTACTTAATTGAATAACATGTCATCAGTGAAAACAATAAGGGATAAAATTAACTAATACATTACTAAATATCAACATTAAAAGTTTTGAATTTTTATTAATCTTAAATTTATTTTTGTAAATCTACTATGGAGAAAAATAAAATTTTTTAACATGTCTATGATTAAATTTTTCGATTTTTTTTTTTTCTAATAATTTATTAAAAACTTGTAAATAAAATTTCATATAAGAAAATTAATTAAATAAAAATAGAAATTAATTTTCTTGAAGAAATTTGTAATTCAATAATTTAAATATTAAAAACCAAAAAAAATAAAAAAAAAAAAAACCGAAAAAAAAAAACAAAAACAAACAACACACACACACACACACACACACACACACACACACACACACACACACACACACACACACACACACACATTTTTTTTTTGTATTCCTTTATTGTCAGTGTAATTACTTGTTTGAAAAAAATCAATAAAAAAAACTATCCTTTAAATTGATCTATTTAGACAAATTTATTGACTGTCCTCCAAACTAAATTCGATAAAATCACTGAACTGGATTAGTTTGTTCCTGATTTTTATTGATTTCTTATTAGAAAGAATTTCGTATTTTGATTTGAATTATACTACAGTTAAAAATAATTACAATAAAATCTGTAAACTTTTCTATTTGTATTATTTGTACAATGGTATTACTACGAGAATTCCAGTGTGTTGATACCAATTTTAATGAAGAGATAATTTTAATCGAAAGATTTTGATGTTTAAGTTAAATTTTTCGGTAGATTATTATTGCTGTATTTTTTGTTTGCTTTTTTAATAATCATCTTTTTTTTGTGAAATTGTATTTAAAATGAAGTTTTCAAGGTGTTTGCATCAAATAATCCATTCTTGGGGGGAAAGGTTATGACGATTATGGTATAAATCCATCCATAAGCGTATAGCTTTTCCCCTTAAGTGTGTATTTGAACCTGCGACAAACATGGTCAGGTAGGAATTGACTCCATACAATGACTATATTTTTAATTTTTTTTTTCTAATTTACTAAAACATATAATAACATTAAATAAAACTATTCAGTTATGCAAATGAAACACCAATACTACTACTGACACTATATATATTAGGGTGCGTCAAAATTTAATCTCTGAAAGCAACCTTTTAAAATTGGAATTTTGAGTTTTGCTTTTAACAGGAGTTTTGTTTGAGCATTTTTGCTGAAATTTCAAAATTTCAAAATTTAGCCAAACGAAGCTCCTGTTAAAAAATTCTGTGAATATCAAATAAATCGTGATATACCAAAATATATTAGGAAATTCCCAAACACAGCTCCTGTTAAAAGCGGAACTTGAAATTCCGATTTTAACAGTTTGCTTTCGGAGATTAAATTTTGACGCACCCTAATATATATAGTGTCAGTAGTAGTATTGGTGTTTCATTTGCATAACTGAATAGTTTTATTTAATGTTATTATATGTTTTAGTAAATTAGAAAAAAAAAATTAAAAATATAGTCATTGTATGGAGTCAATTCCTACCTGACCATGTTTGTCGCAGGTTCAAATACACACTTAAGGGGAAAAGCTATACGCTTATGGATGGATTTATACCATAATCGTCATAACCTTTCCCCCCAAGAATGGATTATTTGATGCAAACACCTTGAAAACTTCATTTTAAATACAATTTCACAAAAAAAAGATGATTATTAAAAAAGCAAACAAAAAATACAGCAATAATAATCTACCGAAAAATTTAACTTAAACATCAAAATCTTTCGATTAAAATTATCTCTTCATTAAAATTGGTATCAACACACTGGAATTCTCGTAGTAATACCATTGTACAAATAATACAAATAGAAAAGTTTACAGATTTTATTGTAATTATTTTTAACTGTAGTATAATTCAAATCAAAATACGAAATTCTTTCTAATAAGAAATCAATAAAAATCAGGAACAAACTAATCCAGTTCAGTGATTTTATCGAATTTAGTTTGGAGGACAGTCAATAAATTTGTCTAAATAGATCAATTTAAAGGATAGTTTTTTTTATTGATTTTTTTCAAACAAGTAATTACACTGACAATAAAGGAATACAAAAAAAAAATGTGTGTGTGTGTGTGTGTGTGTGTGTGTGTGTGTGTGTGTGTGTGTGTGTGTGTGTGTTCTGAAATTTTGGTATCTTTCTCTACCCTATTGAAAACAATTTTCTGAATTTTTTCAAATTTTTTTACCCAACCAAAAAAGTTACGAGTTATTACAAAAAAACAGCTTTTTTTTTTTGTTAAATAATCATAACTTTTTTGAAAATTGACTTTTTGGGATGTTTTTTTTTTTGAAGTTTTTGTCTTTAAATGTACTTTAAAAGAAAAAAAATAAAAATAATAATTCGGATTCATATTCAATGTTTTTTTTAACTTTTTGGAAGATAGAAAGAAATAGATAGATAGAAGAAAAATAGAAAGAAAAAGTTTACCACTCTGAAAATTTTAGGGAATTTGCAAAAAATACTGAAGTTTTTTTATAAAAAAGAAAAATCGAAAATCAAAAGTGTCAATCATCCCAAAATTTTCGTTTTTTTCCAAAAAGTTAAAAAAAACATTGAATATGAATCTGAATTATTATTTTTATTTTTTTTTTTTTCAAGTACATTTAAAGACAAAAATTTCAAAAAAAAAAAACATCCCAAAAAGTCAATTTTCAAAAAAGTTATGGTTATTTAACAAAAAAAAAGCTGTTTTTTTGTAATAAGTTGTAACTTTTTTTTGGTTGGGTAAAAAAATTTGAAAAAATTCTGAAAATTGTTTTCAATAGGGTAGAGAAAGATACCAAAATTTCAGAAAAATCGAAAAGGGTCGGTGTCAAAAGTGGTCGATTTGGCATGGACTCGGGAAATTTACAAACTCATAATAAATAATAAAATAAACAGGGTAATAAGAGCCATCTATCCAGAACAAACTTTCGCTATCGCGAGTAATAATAGCTCATTTCCTTCACTCCCCAAGAGAAATAGCAACAGAGATCGACTTGAACAACCTATCTGGTCATCTCCAAGAACAGAAACGAATATCGCCCAGTTCAATACGCACTGTAAAAATTTTCTATTAATTTTTACATTACATCAGAATAACATTTACTATGGTACATATTACTGGAGGATTTTATTTCTCCACTGGTGTATTTACGATGATTTATAGTAATTTCAGTTACGAGTGAAGTATACTGTGTCATGCGTCGCGGTTGACGCGCATACGTTTACTGGGAGACACATGCAAATGTTGTAGTCTTTAATTCAACTTTTTCAGATTTCCAAATTAGAATTATGAACAGTTAAATATAGTTTAGTGATATAATGCATCCATAGTAAAATTTAATGTAAATTTTCCACAGTGTACCCATTCAACACATTTCCAGAAATTTTGGTTCAGCGGAGGAAATGTTAAACCAATTTAAAAACAGCATGATCAGCATGTTAAATTAGCACTTCTTAGAAATAAAGAACAAAACAACGGATAATAAAAAAAAAATCGAATGCTTAATGGCTCAGTAATTTTTCAGGCAATCGAAAAAATATATTCGGGAAAAATAACTCTGGAAAAAAAGACTAGAAAACATAGATCTAAAAAAAAATAGATCGACAAATTAGCTCAAGTAAAAACAAATCCAGAAAATGTCTGGCTAATGAACAGTAATAGCACCGGCACATAAAAAAAAAGTTGTCTGTACACCGGGCGCCACCTATCTACGGGCATGTTTTTCGACCCGCTGAACACGAATTTCAAGTCAGTTTAGACCGTCCAGCCTTCAATTTCGACTAAATTGCAAAAAACTCCAAAAAATAGCGAAAATTCGATGTTTTGGCAAGAAAATAAATTTTTAGATCTAAGACAAGCATAATTTTCATGTATTTAGATCTGTTAAATACTAATTTCGATCGTACATTAATCATAAACCGTTTTAATTCTGAAAAAATTGTAAAATATCCTTAAAAATTGCAAAAATCGTGAAAAATTGGGATTACCTCGTTACAGAAAATTTTGTGAACCCGGATTGACGAAGATTTTCATGTAATTAAATCTGCTTGATCTGATTCTGCAATAAATTTGGCTCATAGTCCCCTCGAACATTCATAAAACCGCAAAAGACCGATAAAATAGTAGAAAATTGCTGCTGAAAAAATGAAAAAAAAATCTTTTAAACACAATTAAGGTAGTACCTCCACGAAAAGCATATTTCAAGAAACTTATGAAATTTTTTTATCGAAAGATAAATATATTAATAATTCACCACCAAAATTTCAGATCAATTCACCACACCGTTTTTGAGTAATTAATTTTCGAAATTGCATCTTTTACACGTAGTGGTATAGGGAGATGGTAAAGTTAGTATGAAATCTTTCGTACTACTCAAGGGCTTTTAAAGCGTATTCTTATTATAATAATTATTATTATTATTATAATTATAATTGGCCTTATTTAAATCTCAATGTTTAAATTTTATTAACCAAATTCTATTATCTAAATCATATTAATAAATCTAAATTTTAGTATACCAAATAATTCAAAAAATCTCAATATTTAAATATTCATAACTATAAACCAAAACTTATATCCGAATATTACAAATAATTATTCGACTGAATATTTTAATGTAGCCTTTTATCTATCTATATTTTGTATTTTATATAATTTTAAGTAACTTTGTAAATAATCTAATGTATACTTATATTCATACACATTTCAAATGTAATTTAAATACCTTGCCATTCGGTCTGTGCCTTGACATTTATCATGAATAAATAAATAAAATAATTCACCATCAAAATTTCAGATCAATTCACTGCACCGTTTTTGAGTAATTAATTTTCGAAATTGCATCTTTTACACGTACAGGTATAGAGAAATGGTAAAGTTAGTATGAAATCTATTTGCATCATTCGAGTGATACGGAAGATTTCATACTAACTTTACCATCTCTCTATACCTCTACGTGTAAAAGATGCAATTTTGAAAATTAATTACTCAAAAATGGTGCGGTAAATTAATCTGAATTTTTTGTGGTGAATTATTAATATATTTATCTTTCGATAAAAAAAATTCCATAAGTTGCTTGAAATATGCTTTTCGTGGAGGTACTACCTTAAGTCTACATTAAAAAATCTATATTAAAAAATTATGAACTCAATAAAAAGATACCTAAAATTATTATTATTTTAGAAAAAAATATAAATTAAAAAGAAATTATTACCAAGTTGAATTAAAACTAAACAATCAAATAAAATATTTAATTGACCATTTTTTAGAATTGATTATTAAGATGAATAATATATTTCATATTAAATGGCATTTCTATCGAATTTAAAAATAACAATGTTTCGATGGATACTTGTATATGAGTTAACTTAGTCAGTAAAAGAAATCTATACTTTTAATTATATTTGATGGCCAACTTCATCATGTCGCTTTTTTGGGACATCATGCGCGTGCAGCTCACAAATTTCACTCTCATCCAAACGCGCCAAAAGAAGTATAACTTCAATAAATAATAATCGATTTCTAATAAGTAATGATCAATTGAAAAAAATTACCATTTCAAACAGTAAAATCGTGATTTTAATAATCACTTTATGATATTTATCATTTAAATGCTGCAATTTATTCTTTACATGGAAAAAAATACTATTTCAAACAGTAATATAATGTTGAGCAGCGCCGAGAACCGGAAAATAGTTTAACTAATTTATGTTTATTTTAAATATGTATTGTTTATTTTTATTATTGAAAAGTAAAATATTAATTATAATTAAACTATTTTTATTTATATTGAATAATATTTCCATTTGAAATTTATTTTTTAGGATGATAATAATAATTAACATAATAAAATATATAATATAAATTAAAAATATAAATAAAGATATTTATTTCATATTTTCAATGTATACTCGGCACGAGACACTAACACTGTCAAGATAGCCAGTGATAGATATATGGTTATTGAAACTTCTAACAAAAAAGTTTCTCCAACGTTCATATAGCGTTACGGTTAGGTTATAGTCTCGTGTGCTTTAGGTGTACTGTTCGAATCTCGGTTAGAGCGATAGGCGTTTTTCTAAACTTATTTATAAGGCAAGCGTTACACTTAAGTTACACTTAAGATGAATGAATGTCAATGTGATGAGAAACCTTAGGGGTCATTCCATGTCAAATTGACCAATAGTTGGAATCGATCCCATTCGATTTGGACAAATTTTGGTAAGAAGTTTTCTTTTATCATATAACGAAGTTCTGCCAAAGAAAAAAAAATAAAAAATTTTTTTCAAAAGACATGCAAATTCAAAATTTCGCGATTTTTTCAGTTTTTCAATTTTGTTTTTGTAATATCTTGAACGATAGTATAGATACAGGAATCGCCTTTTGTTTGTTTGAAAGGGGACACTTAAAGCTATTGAAAAAAAAATATTTTGGAAAAAAATTTTGAACAATGCCAAATTTTGAATTTTTGAAAATCTTCAAAAATGACGGTCAACAATAAATTTTTGGCTCAAATTTTTTGGTATACTACCTAATATCAATCTTAAAAGATCCTGAAATTATTGGAACTGTGTTTTTTGTTTTTTGAAAAATATGAATTTTTGAAATTTGTTAAAAAAAATTTTTTTCTTAAAATGTTTTTTTTTTTTTCATCATTATGCCATTTAATGAAATTTCAACTGTTCAAACATCAAAATTACGCGATTTGCCGAACTCAATTGTGCATAACTTTTGAACGGCTTGACCGATTTCATCGTGGTTAGCGCCGTTCGAAAGGGCTTGGCCGAACTTAGATTTTGAATACAATTTGAACCGATTTGAACCGGTAGATTTTGAGAAATCTCAAAAAAAAAACTACAAAAAGAAATTTTTTTAAATGTGGTTTTTTTGGAATAACTTTTATTTTATTTATTTATTTACTTATTTAATTTGAATGCCAGGGCAATGGCCGAATGGCAAAAATACAAAAATAGAAGAGTATAAAGTACATGTAAGAGTATAAACAGATCTAAATGGATATTTTAACAATATTTGGATTTTGCTAATATAACAGTGAAAACAATCAAAAATTTGAGAAATGTAATCAGCTATTTACAATCAGTAAAAATGAGGTGAAATAAAAGTAAGCAAGAAATTTTAAGATAAGTGCCGGACTAAGTTTAGATTTAAAGCATTGCAAATCACTCTAATTTTAACTTTAACGATTTGAATCATCATCAGTGAAGCCGAGTATCAAGTTCTCATTAAGCTCAAGGTCATAGAAAAATTGGTAAGCTTTTTTCCTGAAAGTGTCAATAAGTGCATTGATGACGTCAGGTGGTAATTCTCTCCAGAGGCGTATCGATGAAATCAGGAATGAATGTTCGTAGGAGGTACACGGAAAAAATGACATTTAACTGGTTTCCATGTTGTATGGATCCTAGTTCCATCTATAGTGAAAAAAATTTACAAATGGCTACTACTTCAATGTACAGTGTAGTAGGTCCAATTTTCGTTTATTTAAGTTAAATCCGACATGTAGCTCAGAGCCATCTGAGATTTATTTATCTCAGACGGTTGTCAGTACCGCGCGCATGGTCGTCAGTCCCATTTTACATAGAAATGGCTTCCGTTTGAAATTTAACTAGAATCTCTCTGCAGATAGTATCTATTTTTACATTATCAGTTTCAAGTGCATTTTGCAATCAAATATATATGAATAATATAAATGAATAATAAGTATATTATAATGAATAATACAGATTATAATTTTATTCCAAATCAAAAAACTAAACCTTGATAAGTTTAAAAAAAAAATAAATTAAAAAAAAAATTAAATTAAAAATAAAATAAATTAAGAAAAAATAAATTAAAAAAAAATTTTTAATTTCAGTGTAGAGGCGCGCAGTAGCCTATCGGATCCGGCCCTTGCTACCAAAGCATTGGACCGGGTTCGAATCCGGCGTACACCAATGAATATTTTCAATATTTAAGTGTATATTATTCTGCTCAGCCCAAGAAATACAAACGAGTTCCAATCTCAAAAGTGTACCCCCTACCGTAGTCGCTCATGACCTTAGTAGTTTATGCGACTTTAAACAAATTAAAAAAAAAAAAAAAATGACAATTGTTCTAATAAATTTCAGTGTGATACTATTTTTTAAAATAAATTGTTGATGAATACCAATCTTCATCTTATTTTAAAAAAATTGTACCACACTGAAATTAAAATTTTTTTTATTCAATTTTTTAATTTTACATTAAAAATTTTTTTTTAATTTATTTTTTTTAATTAATTTTTTTTTAATTAATTTTTTTTTTAATTTATTTTATTTTTAATTTAATTTTTTTTTAATTTATTTTTTTTTTAAACTTATTAAGGTTTAGTTTTTTGATTTGGAATAAAATTATAATCTGTATTATTCATTATAATATACTTATTATTCATTTATATTATTCATACATATTTGATTGCAAAATGCACTTGAAACTGATAATGTAAAAATAGATACTATCTGCAGAAAGATTCTAGTTAAATTTCAAACGGAAGCCATTTCTATGTAAAATGGGACTGACGACCATGCGCGCGGTACTGACAACCGTCTGAGACAAATAAATCTCAGATGGCTCTGAGCTACATGTCGGATTTAACTTAAATAAACGAAAATTGGACCTACTACACTGTACATTGAAGTAGTAGCCATTTGTAAATTTTTTTCACTATAGATGGAATTAGGATCCGTACTACATGGAAACCAGTTAAATGTCGTTTTTTCCGTGATAGTTGAAAAATTGGGAACTTTAAATTTGACATTGTTCTGATTGGCAACCACTCTCTCAGAACGTCTAATGTCTGGTGACTCTTCGACAAACAAGCCAAAGCTAAAAAGTTTATACAAAAAACAAGCCAAGAAGTAGTACCGCTTCGATTTAACTGTGAGCCACTGTAAAGAGCGTCTATGAGGAGTAATATGCTCATCACGCTTCAGATTGAAAATGAATCTTATGCCGATGTTAATCAGACGTTGTAACTTATAATCTAGTCAAGAGCAGTAGTCGATGATTGGAATAATCATTGCTGCGACCAGCAACTTCCGAGTTGAAATAGATAATAATATTATTCCTATATTTGAGGCTATTTAGAGTGTTATAGACTTTGCGAGAGGTATGTGAAACATGAAGATCCCAGGAAAGATTAGCTGATAAATGAACACCCAGATGTCTAGTTGAGCTGACATATGAGATGACATTGCCATCTACAATTATTTGAAGATTACAATCCTTAAGCAGCTTCAATTTCCTATTACTCCCTAGAATCATCACATTTGTTTTCCCAAGGTTTACTTCAAGGCCAACTTCTTTTGCCCAATCAGCTGCTGCTTGAGCATCCGCATTGATTTTATGCGTTGCATCGTTTAATTGGGAAAGATTGAAATGATAGTATGCTGATTTATCGTCAGCAAAGAGACCATATTGAAAAAATTTCAGCCGTTTTGCCATTCCATTAATCATGATGAGGAAAAGAATGGAGCCCAGAATAGATCCCTGAGGAACACCTGAAGTAGTGTTGATGGCATCAGATGTAAACTGCTTGACTGATCAATTCAAAAAAATAATCAGCTCTTAACCTCAAAATACCACGTCGATCACCGCTTGTCCGGTTAAAATCGGTTGATTCGTTCGTGAGTTATCATTGTCAAAAGAAACCCGAAAAAATGGTTTTTTCAGAAATACTTCGAAATTCCTAGTATGACCAATTCAAACTTAATGATTTTTTACGAGGCTTAAAAAACTGCATCGAATGCCGCTAACCGCGTAAATACCGGTTCATTCATTCAAAAATAATTGCGGTTAGAAAATTCAAAAAATAGTATTTTCCCCTCTGTTGTCAGTTTTTTTTCCTACCAGTAGTATTAGGATCCTCGAGGTTTCAAAACCAATCGTGATGGTCCTAACAGCAACATACGGAAATTAATAAGCATTTTTTGTCGATTGTACTGTGCGTGACAACATAGAATATCATTGAAGAATAAATTTACAATTGAATAATCGAAAAACAACTCTTTTTTTGTTTTTTACAAAAAATAAGATTTTTTAAAAGAAAATGAGATCAATTATTTGAAATGAATTTTAAAAAAAAAGTTCGGAAAATCCAAAAGTTTATGCCTCGTACACGTACCACTCATTCTATTTTTAAGAAAAAAAAAATTAGGTAAACGTTTAAGACGATTGGTTTAACAGCTCAAAAGTTATTTTTAAAAAACATGATTTTGACAAACATTTTTTTTCGGTTTTTTTAGAATTTCTCAAAATCTATCTAGCTGAATCGATTCAAATTTTCAAGAAATTTACATTGAGTGAAACCCTTTCAATTGCCTTTAACTACGTTCCGATCAGTCAAGCCGTTCAAAAGTTATAAAAGGTTTACATTCACATACACATACATACTTACATGTATACATCCGTACAGATATACTGACGTCATCGTGAAATTAGTCAGAATAACTTCCTAGGACCTCAAAACGTCGAGATATGATGAAAACCCGATTTTTTAAAATCATGGTGAAACCAGTAACTTCCCTATTTTCTGAAAATTTTCAATTTTCTTAGCGAGAACTTAAAAATAAGTTGTATTGACTTTTTCATATTATATGAACAATTTAATTAATTGGGCTTTGATTTAGAATCAAGTATTTCGCGCAATTTTCATTTTAGATATGAAAAATAGAACGCAAAGTACTACTGAATAAATGAAAGCGCCAGATTACTTTCTGTAGAGAATCTTAAGCGTCACCGTTTTCATGTCAGAGAAATGAGAAATAAAATATATTTTGCTATTATAAATGTGTATGAAGTGAACTTTTTTTTTAATAAGGAATCATTTTACCAATAAAATACGCGTACTAGCCTATTGATATGTAGTAGGTAACTAGTTAATGTAATTCTGAAGATAATAAACAAATTCCGGTCTTAATACGTCAATTTTTTCGGGAGTTATCGTGATTACCTAGTGAAAAAAAATTCCGACGTCGATGTAAAATTCTTTTTCAACAGTTTTAAGGTAGCAAAATAAAATTGTTTTTTACAAAATATGAGATAAATTATTTCAAATGTTTTTTGAACCGCTTCGCGGTATGAGGCGTGCTAAAAATATCCTGAAATTGATTTTTGACAAATTCGATAACCAAACCATTCCAGACATTATGAAAAAGAATTAGCGGTATTGCGAGGTTAAGGTTTTTTATTGGAAAAATTTGGGACAACCAAGATCTCTGAGGTTAGCATAGACTCGCCCATCATGCATTCACTCATTATACAAGTTAAGCAACAAGATTTATTCATGGTGCTAAATTTGTAGCTTTTTTGTTGCTAATTAGTTGCTCTATTTATAACTTTGTTGCTTGTTTAGATTCCGAGCAATCATTAATAATATCTGTCCAACATAGATTTTGTTACTGTTATGTAAAATATATTAATTTAGGGTAATTAATTAATTTTACATTTAAAATATTTAATGTGTTTAAGTATTTGGTCCTAGCGTGTTAGGCTAATAGACCGGGAACTTCCGAGTTTTAGTTTATTGAGAATGATAGGTTTGTTTGAATAAATTGATGTAGTTGAATAATTTTAATACATATATTGTTTAAATCCAAAATTAATATCATTAGTTAATTTACAATAGTTACAATTATTACACAGTGATTGAAGTTAACTTTTCTTTCATATAACGATTTTACAATATTACCAAATTCACAAATATTAATAATTCACAAATATACCTGATAAAAAATTTGATGAACCTTGTTAATTTATGACTACGATTATCATCCATGATTTATAAACAATAATGAAAATTATCAGGAACTTGGACTATAAAAAATAACTCAGTGTCAAATTTTTTAAATGTTGCAACGTTTCGTTGTATTTCACAACTTCATCAGGCAAACTGTACAAAAAAAAACACATTGTTAATAACAATATGACAATATGGAAAATATTTTTCTTTGAAAGGTGATTTTGTCAAAAATGAAATAGTAAGAATTTTTTATAGGGATTGCTTTAAGATAATTTTTATTTATTTATTTGACTGAGATTATTTGTATTAATTAATATTTTAAATCATAATCATTTCAAAATTGAGAGTCGGCATAGTAGATTGGAGAAGCACAACTGTTTTTACCATTGCAGAGGGCGTTACTAATTTCCACTGTGGGGGAAACAAATGACCAATTATTTGTCTATTTTCTTGGGCCCTTACCCTCTCTCTTAAATTTGTCTAAAAATGTTGCATGTCCCTCTACTTGGGTCAGAGTGCAACATGCTTTCTCACTTACTCTTATGTTCTATTATTCATCTATGTGTTTGTGTATACGTAAGCGCATTTACGCATAGACAAAGACATACATTTGTACTGTCTACATTAATTTATTTATTAAAATCATATGAATAAATATGTACTCGAATCTAACATTTCTTACGTTTCCTTGAATTTAATTATTTATTTGTAGAAATATTTCTGTTTTATCGTTTTATAAATTTGTTGTATTATTTTAGAATTCAATTGTTTAAAATTTGTTTATTTTTAATTATTTAACTTTCAAGTTCTATTTTTTTTTATTTGTTTTTCATTTCATATTTAATTTTGTTGTCTAAAAATTATTTCAGAAAGTTCATTATTAAAATTTATTTCGATATTTTTCTCAACACTAAAATTCTGTAATTAAGTTATTCTAAAATCTTTTGGTTTAAAATAAATCTTTTTATCTAATGTTCTTTATCTTTAAGTATTTCTTATTTTAAGTATAAGTGAGTTTGCTTACGAATAACAAAACTCCCATTTATCTATTTAATCTCTTTAAAATACCTGGGCCCTCAGACTAATTACGGGAATTTCCCTGGGCCTTTTGCAAAGATCGAACGAGACACTTAATGACCACACTCGAATTATCTTTTACAATCGTTAAAATTTAAATAAAATTATACTCGATTTTTTATAATTAATAAATATGTAAAGAAAAATTTCTTTACATAACAGTTACTGCTAACTTGGCGACGTTACAATCCTAAACGATTAATAATCATGACCAATATTTTTATATTAGCTTCATCTGTTATTTGCAAAGTTACACTTAATTATGTAATATTACTCAAAAATTACTAACACAAATACATTTTCAACTTCAGAACCGAAAAATAGAAACTTACAGCCCAAATTCTTACTTCTCTTTCTTTTCTACTACTATCTCTCTCTAATTAAGTCATCTTACTACTATAAAAAAAAATAACATTTTTTAATATTTCTTATTTTTCATGATTAATATTATCTATAAATGGTCAAAATTTTTACACGTTGACTTCTTGCGTAAGCTTTTTAACTATTGGTTCTTCACGACTTTTACATGAGGACCTTCAGAATCAGGCATTAAAAAACTTGAAAGTAAATCATCCACATCAAATTCACCTTCTTCAATGTGAAATTGTGTCTCATAGTCATCCATAAATTCTTCCATTGAATTAGATCGATAGCAATCTTGAACACCTAAACTCTCGTAACAATGTTTTGAAAACATTTTCAAAGTGCGCGCTACATAAGTTGTCGTTGTTTTCCTGAACATGTCTTAAGGAAGTACGAGCGCTAGGCGGGGTGGGGATAGGTATCGACTCTAGCGCGGTAAGGGGAAAGCCGTAACCATATGATTTTTCTCAATATATAGATATACATTTAACATTGGCTAATGGCAGCATTTATTTTTCTTTTAATTAATACACTTTACTTAGTCGGGCAAGTGTAAATTTTTTTGAATAAAATTTGTCACTAACATATTTACTTTCATCCATAAGTTTTTTAAAAATATTCACCGACAGTTTTAAGAGAAAAATACAGAAATGTATCAATGTTTGGAGGTTACCCCATAAGACCAATGTTAAATTGCTCAACTTTAAAGTTAATTATTTATTTAAATAATCGGGCAATCTCCTTCAAATTTTCGGAATTTGTTTAGACATATTTAAACTTCATATTAAAAAAAAATCAAGCCTTTTATCAAAAGTTGCCTTGGTGCTCGTACTTCCTTAAAAGACTAAAAAATTACTATAATGTATCCTGATTATTATCATCTAGAGCTTGCGGTGTAGGCGTACGTATATTCCGATCCTTGGAATTTTTGTAATTTTTCCAGCAGCCATATTCAAATTTTAACGTCCGAAAAATATTTGTTAATTCCACCAATTTTTCAACATGCTTGATCAAATAAGTTTGATATCAAAATCCTTTTCAACAATGTTTATTACGTTCGATCACAATAAATATTTTGCACACTTTATTTACCTCATACTTTTGTCATGATTGTTACGATGGTTTTTTTAAGGTTAAGTTAAAATCACTAGCGTTTTTGCTTACTATAGTTATTAACCACCCTTACCATTCAATCAGAATTTAAACTTCATTCTTGATGTTGTGGTATTGATACCAAACTGATGGTCAAATAAGAAAGTAGAAGGGGCAAGAAGTGTCAACCCGCTGTAAGGGATTGATATTTATATTTTTTCACGCAGGTCACTAGTGTTGACTCTTAAGGATTACCGCTTATCTTATTTTACGAGCTATTATTTTTGAATATTTATTAATTTATTGATTATTTAATTGTTCAGTACTCTAGTGTTTTTTAGTTTCTCTCTTGCATTGCAGCGGAATCCTGCAAATTGAATCTTGTCGCGTGAGATAAATTCTCTCTATTTTTAGTCTGGATCATGATAATGATGATCTGTCAGAAATAAGAGCGATATTTTTTTCTCCGTGGTCTATAAATTTTCATATTTTATAAAACTTAGTCAAATATCTTACAAATTGTCAATGACATTTTGAATTTTTGTTACAGAAATATATAACCGTTTTCAAAGATGGGTACATTGCTGATCATCAAAAGTATTAGTCAATACTCTCTCATGCCTATGGTGGAGGCTAGGAGTAGTGAAGCGTAAAGACATGGACTCATACGATCTGTTTGGAGAAGATGTCAGTGGTTCGATGCTTGATGCCCTTCCTGATCTCGGAGGGAATGATCATTTTGATCCAGCCAGTGCAACAAATCCTGTGGTAACATCCAGAGATGGCTCAAATTCTGGATCTAACAGAGGAGGAAGTTACATTAATTCATCATATAGTATTTCTCAAGAATCTCCTCTACAAAAATTAGCATCATTTGGTGGTGCTGAATTTAATAATTCAAATCAATTACAGAATCCATCTCAGCGCACTATGTTCAACCAAAATTTAGGAACATTTGACGGTAATCCTGCACAACGAACAATGGTGCCTGGATCATTTCAAAATCAGAATAGAAGTATAATGCCACAGCATAGAGGTCCACATCCAATAGCAGGAAGTCAGTATTCAAATTACTCAGACAATATGTATTCTATGGAACAACAACATCCAATGGCACGAGCAAGTATGAATATGGATCCAAGTATGCAAAGTTGGTCTGGAAGTAGTAGTTCTTATACACAACTGCAGAGGCATTATAATCAAATGGCACCTCAACCAACATCTTATAGACAGCACATGTCTCAGTATTCTCAGCCACAAGATCAGTCAGGAATGAACCAAAAAATTCCTCCGCAGCATTTTGGGCCGCAACAAGGTATGTTAGGGAATCTCAGTGTGCCTCATCAAAGTATGCAATCAGGAAGTTCCAATGTCGTTTATCAGCACATGGTCAGCCAGCAACAACATTATCCACAAAGCAATTCGGCTGGATTGTATCATACATCTACTGGATTTTCGGGTTTCGCTCCAACTATGCATCAACAACAACAACAACCAAGTTCACAACAGCCACAACGAATGCCACATCATCATCCTTCTCTCGTAACTCATCAAAGTCATCCATCGCATTCACAATATCCTCAACATTCACAACAACATCCTGGTAGTCAGCAACCATCGTTAGATTCACAATATCCTCACCACACTTCACCGATATTTAATCAACCACAACATACCGGAGCGCAGCATTCTGGCCCGCAACATACCTCACCTCAACTTCCAGGAACTCAGCATTCAGGCCAACCACATACAACTGCTCAGCATACGGGTTCCAGCACTCAATTCGGTCCTTCGAAACTTGCGACAAGTCCGCAATATCGTGCTGCGTTTCCGCAATTGTCTCCGCAAATGTCTCCAAGACCACAAATGTCTCCACGACCATCACCAGTTCAACAACAAATGTCTCCTAGACCGATAATGTCGCCAGTCAAGCCGACGACATTATCACCCCATTCACAAGTTCAAATGACACATCAACAACAATCAAATCAACCAAGTTCAGTTTCTGTATCTCCATGCCCATCTTCATCAATGGTATTAAATTCAGCTATTGCCCCTCAACAATCAAATTTACAAGCATTAGAACAAATGGTTATCCCAGGTGCTGCTACTACAAATTCAAGTAAACCGACACAGGATTATACTCAATTTCCAACTCGGCCACCAATATCTCATTCATCCAATCTTATTACTTCTGTACAAAATTCGATGACGATGATGCCAAATCCAAGAATGCCGGTGTCATCTCCATGGCCTCATTCGCAATCACAGCAAGCCCTTCATTCTCAACCTCCACATCAACAGTTGTCACCATCTGAAACTCAATCACAACAACAAACTCAATCGCAGCATCAGCTACAGACTCATTCTCAAGCACAAACCCGAACAAGTATTAATGTTAATGATAACCGAAACATTATAGATTCTCAATCAAATTCTATGGCAGAGCAAGTACCGATGTTTCCCTTAAATAGTAATGAAAATATGCATAACATTGTTGAATCAACTAGAGATTCAAGTGAAAGTATATCAACAACTGTTGTAGGATCTTCTTCTCAAGAGTCTGAAATCGTGGATCAGTCAGTGGTAAAACAAAATTTAAAAACTCATAATCAATCAACACAAGACCCATTGTTGAATAAATCAACTCAACAAGTGGAGCAAACTTCTACAATGAAAACTTTAGAAGTTGAGTCTGTACAGTCACTGCCAGCTTCAAGTACAAGTGGCAATATTGAATGCAATTCACCCTCTTCTATGGTAACATTACAATCATCAAATGATGCGTCAAGTTCTGTTATAGCATCTGGTGAAGACAATGAAGCATCACATTCGAAAGTTAATGAGCAATCTGGGTTAAACTCATATCAAAATTTGCCAACATCTGAAGCACCAGCTATCACATCTTCGCAACCATCCCTTGTCAGTGCATCACAACCACAGCAATTTCATTCAGAACAATCTTTAATTTCTCAATCATCAACAGCTCACCAAGTACAATCTCAAACTGAACAACAGTCGCATCAATCTCTATCTAACCATGCACAACATTTATCGATGAATCAAACTCATATACAATCGCAATCGGGATTATCAAGTCAACAATTGAATCCGACAGGTCAATTACAAATAGTCCAACCTCAGCGGGATCAACAATCAACGGCAGATTTACATCCATCACAATCTCAAATTAATCAACCATCTCAACTACTTTTTCAACAACAGCAAGTCTTGTCAAGTGCTCCTCAGCCACCAAATTCAGTTAATGTGTCACAAATAAGTCAAACTCAACAACTTTTGACGACACAAATTCAAAATACTCAGCTTCCTCCAACACCCATAGGACCAATGAACCAACAACTATCACCACAATCTTTGATACCTCAATCAACTCAGCAACCCCAGCTGCATCTACAACAGTCTTCGATGATTGGTCAAACGCAACCGCAACAGTCTATTATTACTCAACAAGTAAACATAAATTCTAATAATGGTACGTCCTCTCAGTTGCAAGTAACACATTCTATGCAATCAACACATACAGAGGTTCAGTCGATACTACCTCCTGTAGTTCAATCCACAAATATTGGAGTTAGTTCTCAACAAACAGCTACCGCTTCTGTATCGAATACTCAATTACCTCACTCAGTTCAGTCAGGTTTTGGTGAATATATTAATGTTCAAAAATCAAATGTTATGTACTCGAATGACATGGTTGTAGGGTCTGCTCAGCCACAGTACCCCGCTGGTGCCGATAATGCAGGGAATAAAGCTGTACCAAAAATATATGCCATGTCTCCCACACCAACATCAAACGCTATAGGAGGATTAAGTAGTTCTACTTCAACGACGCATCATCATGAACGAGCTGCACTTCAACAGCAGCTTCAAGAATTATTTTGTTTGTCTCCTGCACCCGAAAATCAAGAAAAAATTTCTCATCTTCAGGAAAAATTACAAGCATTACAGCAACATGAAACGAATGATCAATGTCATGGTGGATCTCAATGTATTTTTCAAACACCAACATTCAATTCCGTAGTCGTAGATAGTCCTCAAGTTTCTAGTACAACTGGTCGTGGACGTAGTAAAGGTACTCCAAGAACGAAAAAAAATCGAAAAAAGGTAAACAAAGAAGTGACCACACCTGATTTTACTCAGTCTGTATCACAACCAGAGCAACCTGTTTCAGAAAATCTAGTCACTCCCGGAGACAGTAGTAACATTGTTGACAGTGTAGCAGATTTTGAAGATAACAAACCATCATCTGGTAACACAGAAGAAGAATGGAATAAAAATAGAAAGTCACGACAACCTAGGAAACCACGAAAACCGAAAGAAGTTAAAGAAAAGTCAGTAATGAAAGAACCAAAATCTTGTAAAGAAATAAAACCCAAAGGAAGAAAAAAGAAAGATAAAGAAGGAAAAGAATGTTCCAGACGTGGAAGAAAAAAAACGATTCACTCCGATTCTGCTGAAGAAGAAACAGGGCGTGAAATCGAAAATGTGTCTGATTCTAAAAGTACACCGGATTCGAATGTAAAACTCACTGATGCACCAATACAAGATGATCAAGAACATGTCGACTCATCCACCGTTGAGCCAATTGTTACGGAAAGGGATGAAGATGACGAGGATAAAGTGAATTCTGAAGAAGTAAACGAAACAGTAAAAAAAAAAGATTCACAAAAAATTACAGAATCAACTCCAGTGAAGAAAAAATCCTCCAGAAAACGATCAGTTGGCAGTAAATCTACTGCTCGATCACCCAGAACTTCTAAAAAACGAAAAAATCGGATTGCACCTGATTCTGATGGCGAAGAATTAGCAGCAACTCCACCACCTTCTCCAGAAGCTGGTGAAGACGCGAATAAACGAAGATCTGCAAGGAACACTCATAGAAAAAAATACATTGATGATGTTATGTTAAGATTTTCTGATGACGAAGTTCCTCTTTCCGATTCTAACGCTATTAAGAAATTGGAAGGTTCTCAGTTGAAACTAACTTCAACAAAGAAAGATAGCGAAACAACTGAAATAACTCTTAATAAACCAAATTTCGTATATATAAATACAACTGATGAAGACTCAATGGTTGTACAGCATATTCTATGCATGAGAATTGGTAAAAGAGAAATTAAAGAACTAGTTTCAACAGAACCTAAAGTAGAAGACATTAATGTAGAAAAAAATTCGACTACTCAAGCAATTCCTGAAGATGAAACTGAAACTTCTCAGATTCCAGGAAAATCAAGCAAAATCAGTGATAATCCAACAAAAAGTATTGAAAGTAATGAAGAAAAAGAAGAAAATGAAAATCCCAAAGTGGTTGAAGAAGTATCAAATAAAGAAATTGTCGAAGATGAGCAATCTAATAAATCGATAGATGGTGAAAAACCTGAGAAAAGTGATCATGAGAAAGAAGAATCTCAAGAGGTTGATGGTACTAAAAGTTCTATAGCTGAAACTAAATCTCGATTTATAGAAGTGGAAGAGTATTTAGTTAAGTATAGAAATTTTTCATATTTGCATTGTGAATGGAAAACGGAGGAAGAATTGTATAAAGGAGATAAAAGAATTCAAGCAAAACTAAAAAGATTTAAGCAAAAAATTCAACAAAGTACAAATATTTTTGAAAATACGGAAGATGATCCCTTTAATCCTGACTTTGTTGAAGTCGATCGAGTTTTAGACGAGGCAACTCATACTGATCCTACAACTGGCGAAACAGTAAGACATTATCTCGTTAAGTGGCGTTCTCTCCAATATGAAGATTCTACGTGGGAATTGGAAGAGGATGTTGATCCAGAAAAAATCGCACTTTTTCATAAATTTAATAAACTTCCACCTAAAGATCAATGGAAACCGAAAAAGAAACCTAACGCTTCGTTATGGGTAAAACTTACCGATTCTCCAATTTATAAAGGAGGAAATAGATTGAGACCATACCAATTGGAAGGTTTAAACTGGCTACTTTTTTCTTGGTACAATGTACATAACTGTATTTTAGCAGATGAAATGGGCTTAGGAAAAACGATTCAATCTTTAACATTTGTTGAAGCTGTTTATAAATATGGTATCCGAGGACCCTTTTTAATTATTGCACCACTTTCAACTATTCCAAATTGGCAACGAGAATTTGAAGGATGGACTGATATGAATGTAGTTGTATATCATGGTTCAGCAGCTAGCCGTACTATGCTTCAAGAATATGAAGTTTATTATAAAAACGACAAAGGACAACAAATAAAAGATTTAATCAAATTTAATGTTCTTATTACAACATTTGAATTCATAATAACGGATTTCAATGAATTGAAAGGTTATAATTGGAGATTATGTGTCATTGACGAAGCTCATAGATTAAAAAATCGAAATTGTAAATTATTGGAAGGTTTAAGGCAGTTGAATTTAGAGCATCGAGTTTTGCTGTCTGGTACTCCACTTCAAAATAATGTTAATGAACTTTTTTCTCTATTGAATTTTCTTGAGCCTAACCAATTTTCTAGTAGTGAAGCCTTTTTGAAGGAATTTGGTAATTTAAGTAGTGAAAGTGAAGTTAACAAATTACAACTTCTTTTAAAACCTATGATGTTGAGAAGATTAAAAGAAGACGTTGAAAAATCATTAGCTCCAAAAGAAGAAACTGTAGTTGAAGTTGAATTGACAAATATTCAAAAAAAATATTATCGTGGTATTTTAGAGAGAAACTTTTCATTTTTAGCCAAAGGAACTACTTCAGCAAATATTCCTAATCTTATGAATACTATGATGGAATTAAGAAAGTGTTGCATCCATCCATTTTTATTAAATGGTGCGGAGGATCAAATTCAACTTGACTACAAAGATAAAGAGGACTCTGAAGCATATTTTCATGCATTAGTTAATAGCTCAGGAAAAATGGTGCTAATTGACAAGTTATTACCAAAATTAAAATCAAGTGGTCACAGAGTTTTAGTCTTTAGTCAAATGGTTAAATGCTTGGATTTACTGGAAGATTATTTACTGTATAAGAAATATCCGTATGAAAGAATTGATGGTAGAATTCGTGGTAATTTGAGACAAGCTGCTATCGATCGGTATAGCAAGCCTGATTCGGATAGATTCGTTTTCTTGCTCTGCACAAAAGCTGGAGGCTTAGGAATCAATCTTACTGCAGCTGATACGGTAATTATTTATGATAGTGACTGGAATCCACAAAATGACTTACAAGCACAAGCACGATGCCATAGAATAGGTCAACAGAAAATGGTAAAAGTTTACCGTCTCTTATGCCGTAATACTTATGAAAGAGAAATGTTTGATAAAGCATCGATGAAGTTAGGTCTTGATAAAGCTATTTTACAATCTATGAATACTACTCAAGGTGGTAAAGATCCTGGTAATAAGCAACTAACTAAGGTAGAAATCGAAGATCTTTTGAAAAAAGGAGCTTATGGTGCAATTATGGACGATGACAATGCTGGAGATAAATTTTGCGAAGAAGATATCGATCAAATTCTTGAACGAAGAACTCAAGTAATTACTATTGAAGCTGAAAAAGGATCTACATTCTCAAAAGCAAGTTTCGCTTGTTCTTCAAACAGATCTGATATAAACATCGACGACCCTGATTTTTGGAAGAAGTGGGCTAAAAAAGCAGAAATCGATACGACTGAAAAAAAAGAAGAAGAAGATCTTGTTATTTCCGAGCCTAGAAGAAGAACTCAAATTAAACGATATGGACACGATGAATCCGTTGTAGACATGTCCGAATTGGATAGTTCAGATGATAGTGACGATGACAATACTGGTTTATCAGGTAGAGGTATGTTTGATTAACGCATGTTCATTATTACTCTCACACACTTATGTACATGCCTACAAAACACACTTGACGGAAAATTAGAAACCTTTTTTAGTACTTTAAAATACGAACAAACGTTTAAAAACGAATTTTTAAAAATTCGATTACAAACAGTAGTTTCTTTATTTTATTTTAATTTCTAAGTTTTTCACGTGGAAATTCTCTTTACTGACTCTTCATGAATTTCGGAATTGATAGATGTTCACAAAATTATAGAGTTAATGTCATACTGTTTCTAACATCAATAATATTTATTTTTACTATGTATTAATAAGATATTTTAATCGAAAGAATATAAAAGTATGAAGCCAGTACGGGGTTTTCCAAATATTTTCATACTATCGTTCAGACCAATATTAAAAACGAAATATTTTTAAACATAGGAAAGTAGCTATCAATAATATATGATAATGTAATGTACAATGTAATTTAATTGGTTTACAGGAAAAAAAAGACGTGACAAATTTGGTAAAAAGAATCGTAAAACTTGTGATGAATATGTACCCCGAGAAGGTGAAGTTGTATATGGAAATTGGGCTCGAAGTGAATGTTTTAAAGTTGAACGAGGTCTATTAACTTATGGTTGGGGTCGATGGGAAGAAATCCTTCAAAATAGCCAATTTCGACGTGGTTGGCGTGATATTGACATTGAAGATTGTGCCCGAGTAATTTTACTTTTTTGTCTACGTTATTATCGTGGAGATGAGAAAATTCGCCATTTTATATGGGATTTGATAACGCCATTAGAAAATGGTCAGAAAATTAAATCAGCATGTACTAGCACATGTAATAGAAATAATAGACAAAAAAAAAAGAGTCGTGTAAGAGAAGGCCGAGAAACACGTGGTTCCGGAGTAAATAGCGGACCTAATGATCCTAATCACTGGAGTCATGCTGAAAAATATGATGGAGATATTTTTTTGGAAAGTGCTTACAAAAAACATCTCAGCCGTCATGCGACTAAGTAAGTTCATCTACTGAAAATAATTTATGATTTACTATTAATTATTATTATTTTTTAGAGTTCTTCTCCGTGTTCGAATGTTATATTATATCAAACACGAAATTATTGGTGATCTTGTTCAACACATATCCGATGGAGTTCATGTTAGGTTTGTAAAAATTCATTGTTTTATTTTTTATATGCTTTAAATTATTGATACTTAAGATAACAGTAACATAATGAAATAAAATTTTTTTTTAATATTTTGTGACTTAAGTTCTTTTAATCGAAATGATTAAATTAGCATTTTGAAAACAGTTCAAGTTAACATATTTTTACATCTCTCGATAATGCGCGCAAATATCAGCTCTTTTAAATAAATTTTAAAAGGTCTAGAAATTTTCAAAATAATTAAAAATTAAAATTTAAAAATATATTAGGGTAGTGCAAACGAAACGACTACTTTCTATCCTGTATGAAAATATGTTAATTTATCATGTTTTAAGACATGTCACTAAAAATTATTTAAAGATAATTTATATCATATAATTTATTGATATTTATCGTTAGAGACAATCATCAGTTTGGAGAAATTTCCAATTAATTGTACAACATAGCTGTTTTAATGGATGTTGATGGTATAAAATTCATTTTTCGAATGATTTAAAGTAAACAAATTGGTATTGCGGTAGAAAATTTTATTTCTAAAACACCGAGATAACTCTCTAATTTTCAAGTACATACTTAGGATGGTCGAAATAGCCATCAGATGTGAAATTTGGCGGAAATTTTGTACGTGTATTTGGCGCGTCACTTCATAAGGAAACTTAGATAGGTTTTTCAATTAATGCTGTAGTAAATACTTATACATATCTAATTTTTTCGTTAATAATTTATATTTAGATTCTTCTTTTCTCTTAAATCAAATATTCTGAAGCATTATACCGAAATATATTTATGTAATTTGGTTGTGGTATTAGAGGCATTTTTTTTTTTATATATTGGAACGGTACTTTATGGAAAGCTTGGGGACAACGGTGATTCCTTATAAAGCTCAATGTTCAACGCATGAAATTTCTAATGACAAGATTTTTCAATAGTTGTGATTACTTTTCAAAAATATAACAAGTTCATTATTTTGCAACAATTTACTAACATGACAAATCTCATTGAGTTCAAACTGGTAATTCAAAAGTAGTGAAAAATTAAGAATCAAAAATCAGTAGAAATACTTGTTGTAACTAGCATCTGTTTAATTACGACTTTATGTTGTATCTGTCAATTTTTAGGTTCATTGTAAAAACATACTTAGTGTAAAACAACAAAATTATCCAGTGAATTTTTCATTGTAAACTTACACTTGAAATTTGGCTTTGCTCTTTCAACCGTTTCGCACATTAAAAATTTTGCTCTCTACTTTGTTTCAATAGGTTTAATTTACTCTGCCATCAATACTTTTCTTTTCAATACTATGTATCTGATACTGTTATTTTTGAAATAACAAAAGAAATAAGTAACAAAAAAAGATTTGTTAATAATTATTTTTTTAACCCATAACTTTTGCTTTGGGATAGTTGTTTCGTTTAAGCTTATACTAATAGACCTGATATATAGAAAATTTGACGTACGTATACCTAATACTTTCAGATAATACATGTCACTATTAATACGCAAATATAATTCGTTTAGTTTTTCGAAAACAAGGTAGTTAATAATTTTCCTTTATTTTTAAGATTTGTTGTTTTATTCATTGTTTTATTTACATTGAAGTAACTAAAAATTTCAACGTAAAATGTTAGTGTTAATGAATCATGAATATTTTTATTCTTATCAGCTGACATGTGTAACTTGCAAATTGCGTGCGCAATATCATTAAAAATGCGTGGTAATCGTACACTTGTGTCTTTAGCTAAAGTTTAGTATACCAAAATCTCTTGTTTTACGGTCATGTATCAGAAACCTCTATTTTATATCCTAATCTTTAATTCTTTGAATAATTTTCAAAAATTGTTCAAGTATTAAAATGTTGTATTTTATTTTTCAATTTTTGATACTTTTGAATTGATTGAAAAAAAATTTAAAATTGCATGTAAATACCTATTCTTTCAAAACTGACTGACTTGTAAAAGGTGTACCTGCGAGTATAATAGTAATTAAGTAAAGAGTCTTATTGTTTGGTATAAATGTTTTTTGAAAACTAGAAAATTTTTTTCTCTCAAAAATTGAGTCAAAATATTTGTCAAAATAGATTACGAATCACGTTCTGCACTTAAATAGAATAAATATTTTTTACTTTTAATTATTTTTAAGTTGCTACATAAAATCCATTAATATTTGATAAAATTTATTTTCTCATTTATTTTTGAACAAGTCATCGTTAGTTCAATTGTTAAACCGTATACGAACCTTTGTTTTTACTTATATCAAGTAAAGAATTTACCTATACGAATGTGAATAATAATCATTCATAGTTAGGCTATCCTCATTTAAAATGTCTTTGTTTTTTTACAATAGTTCTAAATTAGTTTAAAATTTTGAAAAAAATTTGCAAAATTATAAGTATTTTAATCTAATCTAGGTTTTCTTATATACTTTAAATATAACAGTTTTTTGAAGTAGTGAGTATTGATATAAAAATATGAAAAATTTACAGCATTATAAAACTAAAAACGAAATTTTTACAACACCTGCTCTGGAAGTTGACTTTTTGAGCGCTTTATGTCATCTCCGAAGTACACAATAGTCGCAAACTTAACTATATGTGTTTCATAAACGCTCATGTTCGGTTAAGACTGCATAACTACACGGATTCCCCTAAACTATACTACTATAGAAATATAACCCCACGAACACAATCTGTGTTTGACTGAGTCCGTCGTTTTTATTTTACTAGAGACTACTGAAACGCCATCTGATGCCGCGATAGTAATTTATTTTTTATCGTTCATGTGAATTCATACACTAAAAACAACATAAGTCCGAATTCTTTTATGAGATTTATGTAAGTCATCCACATGTTGGCTTTTTGTTGAAACCTCAACACTTGTTTTATTTAAAAGATCTAGAGGTCCTTTTATTTCAAGTTCTTTAGCTTTTTTATCTAAACGTACAGGCAGGTCAGGAATATCAATTGAGTCACTATTGTCTTTTTTTTCTGATTCGGAAGATTTTTTATCATCATTATGTGAAGTAAAATCAGCATACTGCTGTAACATTAACGTAGAATCAATAGGATATCTAAAAGACAAATTTGAAGATGAGCCAACTTTCTTTTCCAACTCTTTTTTCTTTGCAGAATCGATTGAAAAATCTTTTTGACGAGAATTACTTATTGAAGTAGTTGATTTTCTTGATGATGATGCATTAGACGCAGATGAATTAAGAAGTGCAAGACTTTCATACGCAGAAGAAACTCCGCTCGGTTGGATGGAAAAAGGATTTAAGCTTCCCAATCCTAATGGTGTATACAATAAACTTGGATTTGGGAAAAAGAATGGAAATGGTGTTGTTGTTGGTAAAGATGATGAAGATGCAGTAGATGATGTTGAAACTTTACTTGTTGCTAAATCTATTTTTGACCGTGATTTGGAGGAATTACCAGAGCTGCTATTACTACTCATTATAGAACCAATATTTTTTGCGGTTGTAGTTACTGTACTTGTTTCCGCTGAACTAGAAGCTGTAGAACCACTCAAAACAGATTCCATACCACTCAAAGATGGTAATCCGAGACCTGCAAGATTCGCAAAGAACGAATTGGTGAGGTTCATATTACTGATATTTCCGAGACTTCCTAATGCGCCAAGATTCGGTAAACTTCCAAATGGCATAAGAAGTGGATTATTTTTTGGATCAAAGTTACTCATAGATAACGTCGATAAAAGAGAATTACTAAGACCAGGGAAATTTAATTGTGACGCTATCGAAGTAGAAGTAAGATTAGACGGATTTGAAGATGCTTGGCTTGTAGGACTTGGCAGCATAGGTGGCCTTCCAGGGCTTTTTCCTTTATTGTTGCTTCGTTCTAAGCCTGGAACTCGTTTTTGCAGATCATGAGGAAGATTTCCACGTTCCTTAACAAGTTCAGCCCATTTAGGATCAACGTCAAATATTGGATTTTCCATCAACCATTGACCAAGTCTTTTCAATTGAGGTGCTTTACTTCCAGTTACCTATAGATAAAATTTTGTTATTTTACATGTAAGATTAATATTTATCAGGCGCGCAGTAGCCTATCGGATCCGGCCCTTGCTATCAAAGCATTGGACCGGGTTCGAATCCGGCGTACACCAATGAATATTTTCAATATTTAAGTGTATTATTCTGCTCAGCCCAAGAAATACAAACGAGTTCCAATCTCAAAAGTTTACCCCCTACCGTAGTCGCTCATGACCTTAGTAGTTTATGCGACTTTAAACAAATCAAAAAAAAAAAAAAAAAAAAATATTTATCAAAATTAAACTTATTGAATCTTATAGATGATGAGTGTATTTACGGATTACGGATTAGTGTATTGTTAGTAATTATTTTTTTAACCCGTAATGGTCATTATGGGTCTAGATGACCCGAGGCAATTTTTGAGTTGCTCTTGCTTCGAAGATATCATTCAAAATGGTATCTGTGGTACTATCTATTATTGTTTGAAGATTTTTTGAGATTCATGGAAATTTACGATTTTAATTGCACAATTAATATACTTTTTTAAAAGTTCGACATGACACCACTTTTTTTTCAAAGTATGCGATATCCGGAATAGAACCCCGGAGGTCATTTTCATTTATCTTAAAAAATGAAGTTTTTAGTAAAAAAAAAAAAAAACGTCAAATTTTTCGAAATTTGACTTTCTCGCACTTTTTTTTATAATTAAATAATTAAAAAACGATTGAGTTATTCAACGGGAGTGTTAAGAATTACTCTCATGTACGGCTCAAGTGAAAATATTGAAAAGAACGTAAGTAGCAACAATTTTTTCCGTGCACGGGGTCAACTAGACCCAATATGACCACTGAGTTATTTTTAAGAAGTGTAACCACTACGGATTAATATTATATCTTATTGCATAGTTAAGTACATTATTAGTTAAAGTTATATTAATTTTACTACATAAGTCTAATAATACTGTGTTGTACGGCATATCCATATTAATTACTCTATTATATTTATCGTAACGAATGTTAGTTCCAAATTTAAAATATGTAAGTTTTAATGTTTATGCAATCTCAGAGATTTAACTACAGAAAAAATGTAACTCAACTTCTCAATAGTATAGCAATAATTTATAATAGATTTTAAGTTTATAAAAGTTTTTTTCTTTTTTTTTCGTTGGTTAATTAAGCAAAACTCTCTAGGACTAAAGCTATGTGAACAATTGTTTGTTTTAACTTAATATAATGTAAAAAAAATCATTTTCATTGTTTTTGGCTAGTTATTTTTATGTGCAACTTATCGATTATAAGTTAATAATTCTGTCTAATTTATATTCTTAAATTTTTTTTCTTACATAAGAATGATGATCTACGAGTAGAGAATCATCAATAAAATTTTTACCTTTTTTCCAGTTAATCGGTTGACTACAGCAACATTTTCTTCTCCAGTGAGTTTTTTCCAGTCAAGAAGAGATGGATCAACTCGAGGTCGACGTCTTCTGGGGGTATTGAGATATTCAGCTCCGAGTTGTTCAGAGATTGCTGTTTGTTCGGCAAGCCATTTATTAACTTTAGCTTCATGAGAATATGAACTAATTTTTGAAGAATACTCAGCAACTTTATTTATGTCTGCAATCATAGCTTCATAACTTTTGCGATGGCCACTAGATGACAAGTGACTTGAATTAAATGTTTGCTGTTGATGTTGTGATTGTTGCTGACCTTGCTTTTGTTGTTGTTGTTGTTGTTGTTTTTGTTGTTGTTGTTGTTGTTGTTGTTGTTGTTGTTGCTGTTGTTGTTGCTGCTGCTGTTGTTGTTGTTGTTGTTGCTGTTTTTGTTGTTGTTGTTGTTGTTGTTGTTGTTGTTGTTGTTGTTGTTGTTGTGTTGCTTGTTGTTGTTGTGTTGCTTGTTGTTGTTGTTGTTGTTGTGTTGCTTGTTGTTGTTGTTGTTGTTGTTGTTGTTGTTGTTGTTGTTGTTGTTGTTGTTGTTGCTGCTGGTGCTGCTGGTGCTGCTGGTGCTGCTGCTGCTGATGTTGACGTTCTGATATCTGACTTTGATATATTTCTTGTTTTTTTAAGTCACGATTTTGTTGTTCAGCTTGACTCAATAAAACCGAAAAATTATCTTTGTGGGAATGTAACGAAGATGTCGGTAAAGTTGATGAGGATCCAGGTGTTCGTGACGTTGGAACTGATGTAACAGTTATAGAAAATGGTTTTTGTCCGGTTGCTACAGAATGGGGAAATCCTGCAGAAACAGAAGCTGGTGTTACCGTCACATTGGGTGTAATCGTATTTTTTTTAATATACTCCATGTAATGACTATTTTCTTGTTGCTCTTTTGCAGCACTAAGTCCTAAAACAATTTCATCAAGTTTTTTTCGCTTTTTCTCTTTACCAATAATAGGTTCATCGATAGGGCAATTTTTTCTTTTCATTAGTTTGTCGAGCATACTGTCCAATTTGCCCTTATTACTATTATTTTGTTTATTTTTGCTAGGCATTGAAAAATCTTGAACTTCATTCATAATATCTTTATTTGAATCGTTAACACTTTTTGTATAATTGGATGATAAATCGATTGGTGTTAAGGTACTTGAAGTACCAGGAATAATAGTAGTTTTACCAGTAGTCGAATATTTTATTTCAAATGGTATACTAGGTGTACGAACATGCTGATGCGCTGGAGGCGGTTGAAGTGATATTGTTCGTCGAGATTCATCATTCGCATTGTCTTCATTGGTATCCCAATTATTAGAAGATATCGTAGGCTTACTTAAACTTGAAGAATTTGATGATAATTGAGACGATAAATGACTATTATTTAACAATGCATGTAATTTAGCTCGCTCTGTTTCTACGTCAATCGCGATATGTCGTTTCCTTTTTTTAGTTACGGCCAAATTATTTAAACTAGGAACTGCCCGTGAAATTCCATGATCTGTTGTAATCGTTATTACTTCAGAAATATCTTTTTCACTAATAGTGTGTTCTACTTCATCTCCAGCAGTAAAATTAATTGCAACAGGCCACTCTTTGTGTTCAATTGCGTGAACGATATGCATCAAACGAGCTTCAATAGCATGTTCTTTAGGCCATTTGAGTGAAGCTTGATGATTATGAGTGAAAAGCTGAGCTACTGTCGACTCTGGAAAATCGACTGTTTTATCACGTAATACAAAAGTATCAATTTGCGTCAATCTCGAAAGAGGCTGTATAACTTCTAAATCAGGAAACATGGCCTTAAGTTCGGCTGCCTGAACACTACATTTGTCTTCAGCGTCAAAAATTTTTTTAACGTCTGTTTTAGTGGTTGCAATATCATCCAATTTTGTATTTGTATCATTTTTGACCTGTGAATCTTTAAGTTTATCGGCTGAATTTACTTCAGATGTTGATTGAGATTCACAAAGTTTAATTGAAATTTTCGGCTTATATTCAGAATCAGATTCAACTTTTATTTCAGTTTTGATCTCCTCTACATTATTTGTAGCTTCGTGTAGATTTTGATTATTTTTTTCATTATTCTCATTGTCAATTGAAATTGACGACAACTTCTCAGAATTTGAATCATTTCTGGTTTTAGTAATATTCGATCCATTATCGGAATGTTCAGAAGATTTATCTATGTCTATTTCCATATTTTCATTAGGTTTTTGGATTTCTGTATTTTGATCTTTTATTTCCGGAGTTTGATCATGTGATTCACTATAAGTTTTATCAAGATCGACTGGAGATATAACATCTTCGTGTTCTTTTGTATCCATAGGTTCATCAGCATTTTCTTCAGCTTTTAATTTTTCATTTGTACTGTTGACTTCTTTTATGTCATGTTTTACTTCATTATCATCTTTTATTTCGTCACTATCAGGTTGTTCGCTCTTTTCTATCGATATATTTTCAATTTTTAAATCTTCATTATTTTTTTCAATATTTTCAGACTCACTTTTGTTCTTCTCATTAGAAGTTGGTGTTACAAGTGTTTCCTTTTCTTCATTTTTATCAATTTCTGTAGGCTGTGCGATTGGAACGGTAGTGATAGTCAATGTACTATTCGAAAATTTATCGTCAATTTTATCTTCAGTTTTAACAATAGTTAATTCTGCTTGATTAACATCAACATTATCTTCTAATCTTTTATCACTTAACGTATCTTTATCTTTTTTAACAGCTACTTTTTCAATTTTTAATGTACCTTCTCCTTTTTCAAGTTTGACAAGTATTTCGTTCTTATCAAACTTGAGTATATCGTCTTTATTTTCGACTTTAATAAGTTTCTCTGCTTTATTGAAAATCATTGAAGAAGATGGAATCGTTCCAAATATACTTTTACCGACAATTTTGTGAAATGAAAAGTCTAAGTCGTTAAGGATAGTTATGTCAGTTCGCCCTAATCCATGTTTTGCAGCACCAAGCAATAATTCTTTGTCGTGTTTTCCTGGAATCCACCAATCTGGTGTATCACCTGAAGGCTGACACAAACACAACCGTTCTTCAAGATGTGGATGAGATAAAATTTCTTCTCTAATTTTACTGAGAAGATCAACACGATCGAGTATTTGGCGAGCTTTACTAGGAGATAACTGATCTACTAAAATATCTAAATAAAAATAATTCAAATCAATAAGACTGCCGTGAAAGAAATAATAACAATAAATTAAAAAAAAAAACTTACCATCGTCATCTGACATTTTCATATTGGCAACTTTTTTACACATTATTCGAAAAGACATATAATAATCGGTGAGATCAGCATCTGTCTTTTTATCAAACTTAGCTAGACTTTTGAATTTGACCCAATCATACTGTGCCTTTTTTCTATCATAATTAACACCATAAGTAGAAATCACTCTAAAAAATTCGTTTTCTTCTCGACGAGACCATTTAGCTTTTTGTTCTTCAACACGACTTCTTTCACGCTCCTTGACCATAGCCTCCATTTTTTCTCGTCTTTCCATTTTCTATAAAATAAGTTCATAATTAAGTACAATTTAAAAATAGTAAGAAATAAGAATGTTTCAGGTAAAGTTGAGTATAGATGAATAAGGTACAGATCATCACAATGAAATCTGAATAATTCTTACACTGATTTCACGTCTCGCGAAACCAGAAAAATGAAAAAAAAAAAAAAAATTAATCAAGAAAATTTATAATTCTTGAAATAAGTTACTACCCGCCCGTTATAGATTGAAAAAATAGAACAATTGCAAGATAAAATTTTTAATTTTTTTTTTTCAGTTATTTTTCAATTCTTCAATTTCTGCTTTTAAAATAAGTTGAGATACCCACCAGATTCTTTCAACCTAAAATATCGTGTAGGTCTTTAAGTTATATCATTTTTCATAAAAAAAAATTATGTGGGTCAATTTCATTATTTTCTACAATTTAATTAGAGAGATTTAGATTACAGTTTCGATACTTGAAATTGAGGTTCATAAGAATACTTTTTTTTTTTACTTTTATCATTAAATCAAGAAGCTAGTATGTCTGTTATAGCGAGTAAAAATCTACTTCAAAATCCGTATAATCTTAAATTTTGAGAAAATGACCATTTATTTTATTTATTTTGAGTTTTACTTGTATACCGTTCTCTGGTTTTTACAAGGCTGATATCCCCACTTTTTATCTCCATTCTATATCCCCACTCTATATCTCCACTCTAGATATCCCTCTTCATTGCGGCTGTGGACCGACTTGTGCTTTCTGTACCGTATTCACCCTGAACCTTACCTTCTCAGGCTGTTGGAACAGAATCATGGGGAAACCACAGAGAAAACCCATGATAGTACAGTCGGAGCTGGGCTAAGTCTACAGTGATTGATAAGAAATTCTTCTTTATCGACCACTGGAGCATTAGGCCCCTCTCCTAGTGTACAGAGATCCCTCGCGCTAGCCAACGTTGAATAGAGTGGTCACCCATTCAAGTTGTTGCTTAAATGTGTGATCGCCCAAGTCAGACGTGTGCCACCCGGCTATCTCTGCCACTTCCAGAGGCAGGCAACGTAACGTAACGCACATATTTTTAATTATAATCACTGAAAAATATTGGTGCGTGCTGGGATCGAACCCGGGTCCCACTCTTTCGAAAAGCGAGCACCGAGTCGACCAGGCCATTGCCAGCCTCGAGAAAATGACCATTAATTTTTTAAGCTTCGATAATTTTATTGTTTTTGTTTTTTGTTAAGACAAATAATGTTTGCTGTCATTAACATCGTCAATTTGACTGAGGATTAATTTTTTTATTTACTTTGAAAAAAAAAAAAAATTGTTTTTTGATTTAATAAAAGTTTTCTAAGTCGTCCAATTTTACAAGAAATACTCCATGAGTAATTCAAATGAAGAACATTTAATGCTCAACGGGAGATAGTTTATATTTAAAGTGGAGGCTCCACCTTTGCGAGAATAATTTTTTTCAAATGAAATTTTTATAAAAGTTACGAACTTTTCTGTTTCAAAAAAGACAAAATAAGCCAAGTTAAAAATGATGAAAATTACGTATTATACTAACCAAAAGATACATCGCGAGCTGTTGCAAGTCCCATCCTTGTATGTTGAGAGCTGGATCCGTAGTAGCTACAGTTGGATTAGTTATTTCAACATCTGCACTTGATTTACCAACTTTTGAAACAGTTTTGCTTATTTCATCTTTTTTACTAACACTTCGTTGATAAGAAGAAATAATACGACGTAAACGTGTATTTAAGTCTACGACTGATGGCCAAATTTTTTCATCATCGAGTATAACTTCGTTCTCATCATGACTGTTGCTGGCTTCCAATGCAGAACTATCTTGTGTTAGTTTGTTAGCTAAAGTTAGCGAATCGTTTTGCACATCCTTGCTCACTTTATCGGAATCTTTACAGTCTTTTGACATACTTAAAGATTCATTGTCATCGATATCTTGATCAAGATTACTGTCATCTCTGGTGGCAGAAAAACGAAATTATAATTATTTGAAACAAATCAAATGTTGTACACAGAAAAATTTCCATTACAAATTACTATGAGCGCATATCACCGGAGAGCTATAAAAACCGCTTGTAGAAATTTTCAATAAAACTACAAATAAATCGTCTTTGGTTTTCAATAGGCCACCCCATTAATTGTTACCGTTTTTTTAAACTGTAAAAATTTCTGAGCTTGAGATGGCATTTTTAAATTCTAAATGTGCTTGGATTGCCTTTTTGGAATTAGTTTATATAACAGATAATTTTATCAGCTCTAATATAAATTTTCCAGAAACCATTCATTAGAACAAAAACAAATGCGGTTTTTACAAATTTTTTGTCAAAAATTTTATTATATCCATACAAAATTATGAACGTAATTTTGTCCAAAAGCTGCGTCATATTACATGCATGCATAAGTATATTCTCAAAAGATCTTTCTGGATAAAAAATCAAGATTTAGCAGTTCTCTATTCCTGAAGTAGTCATTTCAATTCTATTTTTCTAAGCACAAATCTCTAAAACTTAATATTGTCTGATAAAAATGATACTTAATTGAAAAAAGCACCCTTTATACTTCCTAATCAGGACCCCTTGTCTAAATGACTCACAAAAATGAAAGCTTGGCGGTAAGAATGCAATCTAAACAAAATGAAGATCAATTTACTCAAAACAATCGAAGAAATCAATATCTTACGAAATGTGTAAATCACTAATGAAAGAAAAAAAAGTGCTGCGTAAGAAATTAAGATGAAAAACACTCGGGGATTTGTTCAGCAGTCTAATCTATTAGAAAACCATCACTGTGGCTGTCGAACATCTCAGTTAACACATGGGAAATATTTTATAAGACAGTTTACCTTCCCAATATTGTATTCACCTTGCTTAATAATAATTTTACTAATAGACCTGTAATACCAACTGTAGATTACTTTAGACGAACGTTTCCGAGGCTCAAATAAATGTCAACTGGGTAATGATCCAGGCTTAAAAATGCAAAACCTATGAATTTCTCAAAAACACGACCAATAACTGGATACTATGCTTGCTCGTTTTATACAGCCAAATTCTGAAGATTATCATCGACTTTGTACTCTACTTCGCTTATTATTACGATTAACAATTCATACCAAGAGACTACTGAAGAAACTTAGACTGCAGAGCAAGAACAAAAAAAGACACAATCTATTACAAAAGTCATGTCATAAACCAATTAATAATATCAGACATTTATCTTGACTTTATGTTCAATTTCTCGCTTCAAAAGTGATGTTGCAACTGCAAAAGCCACCTACAAAAATCAATTCATTATATGCTAGTCAATTAAAGGTCTACAAAAATATGATTTATTTAATGTCTTGTATCAAGTACTGCTTTGGTATTTTAGACCTAAAAATTTTGAATAACTCAGAACGGCGCACTTATTCTCTTTCACAAAACTAGTTTTAGTATCATCTGCACTCTTAATTACCCAATTAGGATAAAACTCAACTGAGAACACATAATAATGAGAATCTTAAAACTGGCACTCAAATGGGTGAAACATTTGAAATAGATGATGCTACATACTAATATTTTTACATTTTTGAAATTAACACTTTCTGAGGCTAATTTATAACTCCATTCATTATGATATACTCTTTCTATGCATTTATCTAGAAAATAACCTTATTTTTATCACTAAATCGCAAATCATTTGAGGAATCAAAATACCGAATAGTATATATAATCCGACGTCTGTTAGTTAGTGCTTCTTACCTCACTTACATAAGTTGATCAACTTCGAAATTATTCTACACCAACTGACAAAACCTATGGTCTAACTCAAAAGAACCACACAAAAAAAAAGGTTCACTTGAGCCAAGAAAATATTTTTCTTCCTAATTATTTTCTTAAGCGAAAAAAAAAATTTTTTTTGACACAAAAAATTTCACTTATTCCAACAAAATTAATTCTCTTGCTTTAAGAAATACGTATCTTGATCCAAGAAAATTTATTTAAGTCAAGAAAATCTTCTTGTCTTGAGAAAATTTCTCTCTTGCTCAAAAAAATTAAATATCTCGATAGAAGTAAATTCTCATTAATATTTTTATTGATGAACTTGCGAAATGAGAAGATCAAATAATATTGAATCATTTTTTTTCATTCAATATGTATAATTGCACGCTAAAATAATATAAAATGGGTATCAAATATTGAAAAGAAAAATTTTCTCAAGGTGAGAAAATTTTTTTCTCAGCTGAAGTAGGTGACGTTGCTTCCCCAAAGCATCTTAAAAATCTTGATCTAATATAAAAATTTATTGTATCAAGTATTTATGATAATTTGAATTAAGAAAAAATTACTTCCGCCAAGAATAGAATTTCAAGAAAAATTTTTACTTCGACCAACACAACTTCGGTCTTCCTTCAGGCATCCGAAAATTTTCTTGAGCCAAGAATTTTGTTCTCCAGTCAAGAAATTTTTCTTTCTGTGCAGTACATATTTCAGCTATATAAATCGATCAAATCACCAACGAAGTTAGAAAACTTAACCGTTCTAAAGTACTAGAAAACAACATAGTCTTATATGTTATGATTAGAAGACATTTCTTCTCTATAGTAAAAATTAAATTTTGGCTATCCAACATTGACTCTGACGACAACGCTTATCCTAATATTGACAATAATATTGACAATAATCATTATCCTAATGATTGACGCAAATATCCTTCCACCCTCACCCTCTCATCCGTTTTAAATTCTTTGTTTACATAAATTGTTTACATAAATTCTTGTTTCATCAAGAAACAATATTACTCATAATCAACCCTTTATTGATTCTAATAAAATCAAACATATATGAATAAAATAAAAAAAATAATAAATATGTATTTCTTAACTTTCTGAGTTTAATGGTTTAAAGTAAGAATATAAAGAATAAAAATTAAAAAAAAAAAAAAACAGGAAATTGCAATGAAATTAACTAAAAAAAAAACTTTCTTTTTATTTTTACTCTGTCATTGTAAAGAATTTTTTCAGTGTCTTAAGAAAAAAAAATTCTTTAGAAAACGCATTTAACAATACAGCTACCTTAAATGCAAAAAGTCTTATTGTAATTTTAGAATAAATGTTTCTCAATCGAAGAACTATTTACTCAATTTAATAGCTTTGTTGATATTAATTCAAATAGAACTTCTAGAACTAAAAAACTTTGATCATATGAAGACTATCATTTTTTTTAACGAAATCAAGATTTCGTTCGGTATTCACCAAGTTACAATTTTTCTACGATAATCCGAAAAATTTTGATTTTTATATAATTTAATCTATGTGACTAATTTATACTTAAATATTCTAATATTTTAAACATATACTAACTGCTTATTTGTGGAAAATCACACTAATTATAAAACAACAAAAATAGGTGAGTACTTACTTTGTCTGTTCTGTTTGATTGATCTTAGACTGGGAAAGGAGAGGGCAGCTGGTAATGAAAGAAAGCGTGGGGTCGGTCCTCATCAAATCGTAATTCTCGTAACCATGTTTGTAGCATCCGACTATTAATGATTTATCTGCCATCGAATCCCACCATTTTGTTGGTTGTTCCAGTAATTGAGGAGGTTCTATCCGCAACGCACTGTAGGGCGGTGTCATTTACTAATTTTGCCAATTTATTCATGCCAATTTTGATCATATATCATCTTGAGATCTTTATTTTAGATGTAATCTATTTTTTTACGATAGTTCTGAATCGGTTTCAAGTAAATGAAGAAAAGAAAAATCTGCCAAATTTTGGGTTGATATTTTAATTTCAATTTGGACCGTACAATAGTCAAAAATTGATATGTAAAATATGAATAAATAATACTATGATTCAACCACTACTTTTTGACTCAGTAAATATTGACATAAAAACTTGAAATTTAACGACATAGTATTGTGAATGGTACTAAACGCAAATAATAATGAACACAAAACCTAAAAAATTTTTCATCACGATATAATAGTATCATAAATCAATCAATGCAAATGGGTCATTCCACCAAATAAGAACATTTTTACGGGGCGACCCTCGCGGATTATGTTTAAAATTTATGGAGGTGTTCTCTATAATAAGAAATAAATTTCCTATAAGTTTCAGCCCTTAATATGCAGCGATTCTGGAGTTATGATTTTTTGAAATTTTGAAAAAAATTTTTTTTTAACTTTTTTATTAATTTTTTTGATGAAAAAAACTTTTTTATTAAAATCCACGAAAAATCTTATCTTGTGGGAAAAATTCTCAGCTTTTGAAGGAAAATATCCATTTTATCATAAACACATCAGAAGACCCTTTGAAATCCAATTAAAGTGGAAAAATTGATTTTTCTCGGTGTGCGGTGCAAGGTACATCCAATTTGACTTTTTTTTCTGAAAGATCAGAGTTTTTTACAAAAAATATATGGTTTTCACGATGTGCATATTTTTTGTTCAATCACAATTAAATTAAACGTTATATCCGCTAAGTGTTATACGATTATTGGGGATAGTAAAATAATTTTCTGTTGAATATTTAAAATTTCAACTGCTCGTTAAAAAATTGAGTTTATACGATGCAGATGGCACTCACAACTACGATTCCATTTTCTTATTTAGGATGTAATTTTCCAAAATTTGCGAGAAATACTGATTGGATTATGGAAACTCAACCAATTTATAAAAATTTAATGAATAAATTGGTTTTTAATAATCCAACGGAATCGTGCTTCTTCAGAAGTTGCAATAGATGTCCAAACAATGAAGAAGTCATTAATTACTTTCATGCATCGTTTTAAGAATCTGATGTAAATGAAATCGAATTTAAAATGTGGACATCAACCGATCGATGTACCATTGTAAACGTTATTTCAGATTCCCCTGAATAAAAAAAAGTATTGAGACAAAGAAAAAAGTATTGAAAAGTATTAGATTTACTAGAAATCTAATACTTTTCAATACTTTTTTCTTTGTCTCAATACTTTTTTTATCAGGGTTCGATGACTTTATTGATACCTTAGCGACGCAACTTGAGAAACTTTTTTAATAAAAGCATATCCAATTTCATCATTTATCAGTAAAAGTTTGCAATGTCTGTGTACCCTTCACCGTTTTTGATGAAGAATATTGTACGTCTAACACATTTTTTTTCGTCCAAATAAATCATCACTCGTTATAAAAGTAAAATCAACGCCTGTAAAATTCTTGATTACCCAGGAATGTAAATCTTGTGGTGTCAGTATATGTTTTTAATTTTCCATTTGTAATGAAGCTCTAGCAACATGTCGTTTTACTGAACCTGCAAGCCCGTCGCATGATCCTTTGCCATGGGCAGTCGCAAAAAAATGCCACTCAGCGATTATTCTAAAGTCAGCATAATGATTACATAAATTAGTAAATGTTTTTTGATTTTTAAATTGCCTCGGTGCTTCATCTGAGAAGTAAAAAATTCTTTCAATAACAGCAAATTTTTCTCTTAAAGAAGAAATCGTTCTTGAAATGAATAAATCAAAACTGTGTCATGTTTTTTAAGGCATTCTGAGATACCAACTAAGCAAAAATGCTTAATAGCATCATTTTCGATTTAGTAAACCAACATTGGAAATATAGTAACAGGGTGGCGACTGAACAATAATTTCAAAATTCCCTGACTTTTCCATGACTTTTCCCTGACCAAAAATGAAATTCCAGAACCTACAAAAAAATAATTGTTAGTCAAATATTCGTTATAATTGCAAATTATTTTAAAAATAACTTTTGTATGCTAGAATTCATATCTAATATCCAGAATTGAGTAAAAATTTGAAACTATAAATTATATTATTCTTTTTTGCAGATTTTCAACTATTCAAAAAAGATCAGTTTCTTTTGAAAATTAAATTAAATAATTAAACTTTT